AATTAGATGTTGATTATAGGTTAGACATTGGACATTGATGTCAGCCTGACGTTGGGTTCTGACATCAACCCAATTTTCATTTCCAAACAAAATTGAACGTCACCTCGACGTTGGGGTACGTTGGGGTACAAGGTCAATATGACATCATGTTGACGTCCAGTGCCTGCAGGGATGTACCGCATATTAAATAATGGTTTACACAATGCAGCATTGTTGGGGAAAATCAAATATAATCCTGTAGCACTACTACACTTGATTTTGGATTTATTGTAAAAATAAAGAAAACATGTTAAATGACAATTTTGAAATATTTTATGGCATACTTCAAAAAATAAAGATGATTTAGTATTTAAAATTGAATATTTTTTTAATTGGTCTTACTCTTCGTATTTTCATATTTTCTTAGTATATGTAATAATTCCGGTACTATTATTTACCATAACCCGACATATCTACCATTTGGTAGCAGTTGATATTTTAGGGTGCTTTCCCACTTGCATTTTTGGTCCGCACTTAGGTTCGTTGGACGTCAGAGTATGGTACATTTAGCTAGTGTAAATGTGTCTTCTGAACTCAGGTGCGCACCTGTGAACTGTACTCTAAACCGCCTGAAAGAAGTGTTCTAGGGTACAGTTCCTGCGAAAAAAAACAGCAGCTGTGTTTCATTTTAGAGGCTACATCCTCAGAAGGATGCAGAATTCAAAGGTGAGTCCTTCGAAGTCCATACAGAGTGAAACAAGCGTTTTGAAATGAGACAATCTGGTCTGCAGAGGACAGATCTCGTCAACCAGTCAACCGTAACAGCTGCTGTTAATAAGCGCTGATAAAGTTTGTAATGACTTTTTTTAAGTGATTTTAAAACTTATTTAAGTGACCTGCCGGCAAAACAAGGTTTGCAATAGCTGGAAATATATTTCCTTTGACCCATACATGTACACAAAAAAATGTAAACTGTCTATAAAATCACTTTTAGTAAGTCCTGTCATTCTCTTTTTGTTTTTTTAACATGTTTATATTTCCGAGTAAAATAAATTAATTTAACTTAATTTTTACATTTAAACCAGAGTTTTCTTTTAAAAACGTCCTGCCGTTATCAGCACACAATGAATCTTGGGACGTTTGAGGCGGTGAATGATCCACTGGTTGTGTTCTTCATTACTTGGGAAACAAAGGATGCATTTGGAGGCGTTTGAAGGAGCCTTCAATTTTTTTTTAAATGAGACAGACTTCGTCGATGATGCAGCCCACTTCAAATGCATCCTTCAGAGGATGCAGCCTCTAAAATGAGACACAGCTAGAGTTAACACAAACCAACGAGAAGGTGGCAAAAGGGACCAACGAACTTGGGTCCGGGCATTTGAACCAAATGTGAAAGTACCCTTAGAAATTATGAGATGTGCTGAAAAAAAATGCATTGAGTGTGTTTACTAGAGACATTTGGAGTTAAGAAATACAGGTACAGGAGCTGTCGCTGGGGCAATACTATTTCAAAAGATACATATTTTGTACCTGACGGGTCCATAATGATAGCTCAAAGGTACTTTTTAGGTACATTTGGGAACTAAAATGCACCTTTGAGGTACCACTGTGGACTTACTGTGGAAAAGGTACAGCCCCAGTGACAGCTCCTGTTCCTTTATTTCTGAGAGTGTACCTTTATTTCTTAGTGTGCAGCAAACTAATGTCTTTCTCATGGGGGTGAAATTCAACACTACCAAACACTCACTGTGATGAGCAACTTCCGGTGAATTCACACACACACACACACACACACACACACACACACACACACACACACACACATACACACAAATTGTAGTTGCCCTTCCTATTTCAGTCTTTCTCTCACATATCCCCCATTCATGTGATTTAATGACTCATTTTTGATCTAATATTCAGCGATATTGACGTGCTCGCTACCCCTCCATTGGCTGCCAACTCATTGTGTCTCATTGTTAAATAGCGTGGCTGACAGCCAATGGGCACGCAGATGGTGGGTGGGATGATGAAGGGACTATCTGCGCAACTGTACTCTGTCCAATGAGGAATCAAGGTGCGGATGTCTTTGATTCAAAGAATAACCTCATGCATCAAAATCAGTGCATCAGTTTACTCAGTTAGTTGATTGACTAGTTAAATTCTAGAGTACTTGTAGATTATAATAACTTGACTCGTTGATATGTGCGCAACCGGTGCAAGCTGTAACGCAAACAGGCTGAAGATTAGGTTCTAGATGGAATGAAAATGAAACAGCCTGCTGGCAGGAGTTTTTATAAAACATTTATGGCGAAGTTGAGAGAAAAAGCACTTGAGCCTCTCACCGGGACTCACATGTTTGTGCGAGCGTATATGCATGCACATTTGTGTTAAGCACAGCCTGGCTTTGCACATGGTGGGAGACTGAAGCAAGCTCCCTGCATCTTGCTGCTCATTCAGTGAGAGCCATCTGCTGAAGGCTGAACAGCTCCGGAAAGAGAAAGACAAGGCTTTCTGAATCCGAGCTGACAAAACCCAATTTAACAGCACAGCTGGAGTGCTTTGTGCAAAATCTTTTCCGATATCATCGTTTTTGCATTCTTTTGTCAGCATCAGGGATGCATTTGTTTGTGTTGGCCAGTGTGTGCATGTCTTGCGTACTCTGCAACTCTGAATCGAAGCTCTGAATGGTGGCCAGTTCGGTTGCATAGTAACTGCATGTTATAGTGAATGATGTTGCCTTCAAAGAACTTTACAAGCGGTGAGGAGTAAATGTGTGTGTGTGTGTGTCTGTCTATTTGTCTGTCTGTCTGTGTGTGTCAAGGGAGGTCAGACTGAAAGATGAGAGGCAGAGAAGGCACATGCGGGATTGCACTGTAGAGTCTTGGCCGTTGGATGAAGGTATAAAGAAAGTACGCCCACACCAAAGATGTTTCGTAATCCACAGATAAGCATTTATTCTTTTGTCATGCTATCTGTCCGCCACTTTGTGGAGTAAGTGAAAAGATTCAACAGCTCATCCCTTCATATTCGTACATTCAAATGCATACATTCTGGGTAGAAAGGTATAACTAATGCTTTGGTCATCTATGAGCAACCTCACAAACATGGTCGCTCGAGAGCACCTCAAGGCAGTTTGACCTGTTACCCGTTTGGCTGAGATATACATTCACAAACAATTATAAGACAGAAATGTGTCATCCGTGGGACAAAAAGGAACAGTATTTGCTTTTCAGGGTAAACACAAAACAGCATATTGCTAGAATTAACAGTGGATCATGATATCTTTCAGATCATTACATAATGTCTTTAAGGAACTTGCATTTCTCCTTCTATCAGCATGTCCATCCTTTATCATCCACATCTTTGGCTTAACCGCCCACAACCGCCCCTGCATTTTGTACTTTTTCTCTTTCTCTCCTTTTCCTTTTCACTCTTCTCTTGTCCTTGCTGTTTGTGTTAGTTTTCCCTAAAGCATTTTGATTTGTTATTGCAGTTTGGAAAGAGGAGGAAAGGGAATAGGCAAAGCCATTTCCTTCGGAATACCCGTAAAGAGCAGCCCAGGCAGTCTATGATTGCACCTGTTCTTCACACATCTGTGACCAATGGTAGACATTATTATAAATCTGTCAGTAAGCACAATTTACTGATTTTCCAATCAGCTTTGCACTGGTAGTCCAGCTTGCTCCATATATCGCCTTGCCTTGGGAAACAAATCCTTGATTTACACTTTGCCAATTCTGTTGTTACAAGGCGCAAAATGTTAACCGTCTAGTTCAGGGGTGCCCAAACTCGGTCCTGAGAGGCCGATGTCCAACATTTTTTAGTTCCAACCCCAATTAAACACACCTGAACCACCTGAACTCTTTCTAGGTATGCCTGAAACTTCCAGGCAGGTGTGTTAAAGTAAGTTGGAGCTAAACTATGCAGGACCGAGTTTGGACACCCGTTAGATTTTGAAATCAATACCTTAAATGAGAAAGGATGGATTGTGCTATTGTCCTGATACAATTGGTTACACTTTGATTTTGAAAAGAAGAAGAACAAAAGAAGAAAACTCTTAGTACAATGTTGGTACTGTATTTTACAGTATTGACAGAACATGTTAACAGTACTTTGACAAGGATACAAAAAAGTACATTCTCACACTCTCACACCAATGACTGATCTTTCCATGCACTGACCGTAGAATTACCACAGACGTTACTCACAGTGACATTCTTGGCCATTCAGAAGGTGACAAACATAAGGCCCTTTTATAGCGCTATTTACAGCTCCCTCTGCCAAGGTGTTATATTTACACGAGTGATAATTGCTGTCATAGCTGGTGGGTGATGTAATCTTTCGCCTTCCCTTGTGCGTACTCTCTCTGTCCTGCTTGTGCGTTATCTTTCCCTGTTCTTATCTTATTTTGAAATTGCAACACTTTCCAACCCATCACTTCTTTGTTCTGTCTCTTTATCTTGCCTTGCTGTTGCACACCGTTTCTTTTGTGCTTCTCCTGCTTTGACTGATTTTGAGACACTTCTGTCCTAATAGATGGAATATTACATTCGATCGCTCTGAAGGGAATCAAAAGATTTGCTCATTATGCTATTGTTCCCAGTAACTACTGTAAAACGGAGCTGTAGAGTGTTGGAGAGAGGGTGTCATGGTGACATCACAAGCTATAATTTCAACTATCATAGAAGCACTTAGAGTGGCTGAAAAAGTCTAAAAGCATACAAATATTGTACGTAAACCTAAGATGGAAATGTCTATCCTCTGTCTGCACTGACCGACAGAGATGGCTCAGAATACACTTGTCCTCAAAAAAGAAGGACCGAGTATCTGCCTAACCTAACCAAGCCCTGTAAACAGCTTTCATAACTTTCCATTAGGGCCTGTACTGCCCGACGTTCCCTGCTTACCTACTGTATCCTAAATCAGTGTAGTGCCCTCTAGATACCAGAAACTAGAGGCTCAAACTGAACAGAACAAAGATACAGGTGAGGCATGTGGTAAACAGGAATCAAGGCATTCAAGAGTTAAACCGAGCAAACGGGGTTTTCCCTCCTTCAGAGAGGAGAAAAAATGAGGGGGAGAAGAGTTCATCTGAGAGGGACAGATTCAGCCAAAGAGAAGGTGGATGCAGACAGTCAAAACAGACATGGAGAGTAGCAAGAATGTTGAAGACGAGGAGCGAGAAGACGAGGAAGATGGTGGCAGAGAGTCGAATTCTGGAGGGCACTCAAGCTCAAAGCAGCGCAGGGAGGTGATGCCTGCATCTTCATTGCCATAGTTGGCCCAATACTCTTCTGGGTCGAGCTTGGGAAGCAGAGCTTCTTCCTCGCCAAGCTCATATTTTGTGGATGTAGATGTGACTGAAGATTTTCCTCCAGTGTAGGGATGTGCCTTGGTCTCGGAGCTCTTCTCAAAGATACCTTTGGAGGTGCTGACAGGCTTGTTCTTGGAGAACCACCAGCGGGTCTTGGTGCTGAAGGTGGTGGTGGTGGTGCCAGCCAGGGAGCCGGGGTCGGGAAGGGGGCACAGGGCGAAGTCCATCTCCCTAAGAAAGCGCAGGTCCTGTCCACGGCGAGAAGCTGGGGAAGCACACAGAACCTCGGAGCTGGACAGACGGGCACCTCTGAAGAACTCCCACAGGGGGCGAGCCTCGCAGCCACACGCCCAGGGGTTGTTGTTCAGCCGGAGGAACTCTATGGAGGAGACGTCACGCATGGCCTGACCGGGCAGCTCCGCCAGAGAGTTGTTGAAGAGGAAGAGCATGGTCAGCCTGCCCAGGTCCCGGAAGGCACGGCGGTTGACCTGACGGACCCTGTTGTCATGCAGGAGCAGTCGATCGAGGTTGACTAGGCCACGAAACACATTTTCGGACAGGGTGCGGATGCGGTTGCCATGCAGGAAGAGCTGGCTGAGGTTGATCAGGTCGGCGAAGAGATCATCCTGTATGAAGTGGAGCTGGTTCTCCTGCAGGTAGAGGAACTGCAGGCTGTAGAGCTTGTGAAAGATGTCGTGGGGAAGGGCAGCCAGTTTGCAGCGGTGCATGTGGAGGCTCTGGAGCTTCTCTAGGCCCCGGAAAGCTCCACCCTCAAGGCGGTGCAGGTTTGGGTTGTCACCTAGATCGAGCTCCTCCAGATCGCGCAACTCACTGAATGCACCGGCCTCAATCCAAGTGATGTTGTTGGAGAAGAGCCACAAAACCTGGTATGTGATGAATTGAAGTATAGAAAAGTAGAAAGGCAGAGAAAGAGAAAAATGAGGTGAAGATATTGAGAGGAAAAACAAAATTAGTAAACTCAACAACAAAAATGGCATATAATTCTCTAATCTGTATTTATAAACGTAATTATATTAAATGTTTTATTCTATCCATATAAAGTTCCTTACCTGTGTGCCAAAAGCAAAAGACCCCACTCTCAGTTCAGTAATGCGGTTGTTCTGCAGAAAAACGCGCTGGGATTCGTAGGGCATGCCGTGGGGTACAATGGTAAAGTTCTGCGCCTGGCAGCTCACCGTCATTGGGGTCGGATAACACACACACCGGTGCGGGCAGTTCTGCGCAGGCACCGGCTTTACCACGACCAGCCAGACAACCAGCCAGAGCGAGAGCGCGCCTGATGGAGGAGAGAGAGAGAGAGAGCGCGTCACGTCACACTGTCTTACTAGCGCATGCATACTGCTCGTTATCCACAGAAAAGCTCCCCAAAACAGTCCGTAAGTATCATTTTAAATTCATAAATTTGTATTAAAACATATTAGTGGCTTGATGTTTTACATTTAGTTTCCAAAAATGATTAGCATCAAAATTAATTTACAAACGCACAAACAGGTTATCATCCATACAACGCATTTGTTTTCTATCAATGTGGCAATGTAATTTCGTTATGTGTTTTCAGTTTCAGCCCGTTAGCAATTTAAAGTCGTCGAAAAAGTGCGATTATATAATCAAAATCAAAGTTACAACATTCAGTGATAGGAAATGTAGGCTAATGCTGCAAATATTCTTCATACTCTGAATATTAGTCTCTCTTTTCTCACACAATTGCAATTTAAAGTTCCAAAAACTAAAAACTTTGAATATAGGCTATGCGTACACTTGTTTGAATGAACACTTAATTCAAATCACTAATACATTAACACAAAACACATTATGCATCACAGACGAAATATTTTCTAACCAACTGTAGCTGCGTAAGACCATGCAAAAATGATACAATTCTAAACCGTTTGAATATATCAATCTTCAAATCTCAGTACATCCATTTCCAAAACTTAAGCGTTACAAAAGCAGATTTCAAAAGCTCAAAAATGAACAGAGAAAAAGCAGAAACTTACTCTTAAAGTTGTGCGCAAAGGAGCTGCGTTGGCTCCGCGTAAAAGTTGATGTTTCCATTCCGAACCAAAGCCGAGAGCGAGTTAGCCTGAGGAGTTTAGAGACTGATTCTCTGCTATCTCCGCTGATGCTCTGGTTCCCGAGTCGGAGCGACTGAGAGAGTGCCGTCTGATGGGTCCCGGGCCCATTATATACCCGAGCGCAGCGCGCGCCTACGGCTGTGGGCACCACGGAATCTCTCTACGTCACCAGTCGGGTCAAGCCCAAGCGAGGGTGGCAAACGGAAAAGGCGGTGCGGAGAGAGGAGGGGAGGGCTCTCGCGCACCAGTTTGGACCGAGGAAGTCAGACGTCTTAGCTCAGAGTTACGATGGTGGAGACGTAGTTTGGAGAGGGCGGGGGAGCGCGCAGGCACGGCGCCCGGTAATGACTGAACGGAGAGCATGCGAGGAGGAGCGCACGAGGCACATGAAAGAGGCGCACAGCTCGTTTCTGGCTTTGCATCTCCGTCCCCTTGGATTATGTCCTCCGCATTATTAAAAAGACGCCAGAAACAAATGAAACAAACGCATTGTTTGCAGGGGAGACTTTGCGCTCTAGAGACATAAGGGTTAAGACTTCAAATATAGAAATATGAAGCACCAGTGTTGGAATCATCCTTAACAGATTTGATAATGGGTGACTAAAGAATGTAATTACTGTCACTTACAGCTAAAAGGAAAAACAAACCAACACCAAATTTGGTCTCAGTTCCTATATGGACAGCTTCCTGGATCAAACCAAGGCATGTTTTTACTCTAGATGTTTGGGGATTATAGTTTTATTGTTTACAACACTGGCCCACTCAAGATTTAAATAAAACATAAAAAAAAAAAAAAAAAATATATATATATATATATATATATATATAATTCAAACAGGTTGATCAGGTCACTTACTCAAAACAAATACATTAAGTATTGATGAACTAGAATTATGATTATTTTAGTATGTGAAAAAAAGCACTGAAAAAAATCATCAATAGTAAAAATGTGTAATGTCCTTACAGAGAATTTTTGTGTATATACACACATACACTCACGGGCCACTTTATTAGGTTCACCTGTCCAACTGCTTGTTAATGCCAATTTCTAATCACAGGGGAGCAACTCATTACATTTAGGCATGTAGACATGGTCAAAACGATCTGCTTCAGTTCAAACCAAGCATCAAAATGGAGAAGAAAAGTGATTTAAGTGACTTTGAACGTTGCATGGTTGTTGGTGTCAGACAGGTTCGTCTGAGTATTTCATAAACTGCCGATCTACCGGGATTCTTTCAAGCACGACCATCTCTAGGTTGTACAGAGAGTGGTTCAAATATCCAGTGAGCGGCAGTCCTGTGGGCGCAAATGCCTTGTTGATGCCAGAGGTCAGAGGAGAATGGCCTGACTGGTTCGAGCTGATAGAAAGACAACAGTTACACAAATAACCACTCGTTACAACCGAGGTATGCAGAAGAGCATTTCTGAACTCACAACACGTCAAATCTTGAGGCAGATGGACTACAGCGGCAGAAGTCCACAACGGGTGTCACTCCTGTCAGCTAAGAACAGGAAACTGAGGCTACAATTCTCACAGGCTCACCAAAATTGGACAATAGAAGATTGGAAAAATGTTGCCTGGTGTGATGAGTCTCGATTTCTGCTGTGACATTCAGATGGTAGGGTCAGAAAATTGGCGTCAACAACATAAAAGCATAGATCCATCCTGCTTTGCATCAACAGTTCAGGCCTGGAGTGGTGGTGTAATGGTGTGGGGGATATTTTCTTGGCACACTTTGGGCACATTATTACCAATTGCTGACCATGTCCATCTCTTTATGACCACAGTGCACCCATCTTCTGATGACTAATTCCAGCAAGATAACGTGCCATGTCATAAAGCGTGAATCATCTCAGACTGGTTTCTTGAACATGTAAATGAGTTCACTTTACTCAAATGGCCTCCACAGTTACCAGACTCAATTCAATAGAGCACTTTTGAGATGTGGTGGAACGGGAGATTCACATTATGGATGTGCAGCCGACAAATCTGCAGCAACTGCGTGATGCTATCATGTCAATATGAACCAAAATCTCTGAGGAATATTTCCAGTATCTTGTTGAATCTGTGCCACGAAGGATAAAGGCAGTTCTGAAACCAAAAAAGGTTCCAACCCGGTACTAGTAAGGTGTACCTAATAAAGTGGCCGGTGAGTGTATATGAAATAGTTTTAATTATGTCTTTTTAATTTATTTATAGTCAGCGAATTGCTTATCAAAGGTAAATTTTAAGGGATAATTACTGGTGATATTCTCCCAGGACATTATTTTGTGTGTGTGTGTTTGTGTCCAGGAAAACTGAGCTCAATCAATATTAATAATCCTGTCTGCATTTGCATTGTTTTGCTTATTAGTTATAAGATCACAAAGCACCCCCAACTTGAGCTAAATAGGAAGCATACTGTATATGAGCATATCCTGAATAAGCATATTCAGGGTCAGTTTTAACTTCCAGCCCTGCCCTTGACTTAAAATCATCATTCAGAAGTGTTTGCCTGGTCAGTACCACAACTAACCAATCAGAATCCAGAAATTCCAGAGATCCTTTTCATAAACAGACAGACAAACCGAAAGACAGCGGCAGACCCGAGGATGTCCATGTTGTTGTTTAGTACCTCCTCCATTCGCTCATGTTCTGGACACCTCTCTCTTTTCCTCCCTCCTTCTCCACCTCCACAAAAAAACACAAGATGACTGGACAAACAGGCTTTCCCCGCTCCACCTACACCTACCAGCTGGGACGTGTGAGTGAGTGCGTGTGAGGGTTTTTATGTCTCATGTATATCACCCTATCGCCGAATGACTGACAGCATCTGAGTCGTGGAACAGTTGTCCAGGAAAAAAAGCAACAACAAAAAGGCAGCGAAAGAGGAAGAATAGGACTAGGAGGAAGTGTAGTTGGAAAGGAGGAGTTCGTGGAATTAAAAAAAACAGCACATGACTCATATGTAGTGGAATAAGAGAGATTTGGGATTGCACTTAGAAGGATGTTACGCGTAAGGCTTGATTAGTGTGCGGGCAGCAGCCTCATGCATTAAAGCTGCATCCCCTGTAGGCTTTCCAAGAGTGGCTTTGTAGTGCCCTAAGGGAGTGCTCTACTGTGGCAGCCCACATACAATGACAGATTTGCTCTGCCTGTTGCATAGAGATGGCAGAATCAAAATCGATGCACTAACTTTAGAGACCTGCGTCATGACCCTTGCTGGTTTTCAGTGCTGCGCAATAAATCGAAACATTGCAAATTTACATATCGCGATACACACTCAAAAAAAGGGACTTTTGCTTGATCAAACTACTTACAGTTGAAGACAGAATTATTCGCCCCCCTGTTTATTTTTTCCATAATTTCTGTTTAAGGGAGAGAAGACTTTTTCAACACATTTCTAACCATAATAGTTTTAATAACTCATTTCTAATGACCAATTTCTTTTATATTTGTCATGATGACAGTAAATAACATTTTACTAGATATTTTTCAAGACATTTCTATACAGCTTAAGGTGACATTTAAAGGCTTAACTAGGTTAATTAGGTTAACTAGGCAGGTTAGGGTAACTTGGCAGGTTTGTTATATAGCTTAAAGAAGCAAATAATTTTGACCTTAAAATGGCTTAAAAAAATAATAAAACTGCTTTTGTTCTACCCGAAATAAAACAAATAAGACTTTTTTCCTGAGGAAAAAATAGTATCAGATATACTGTGAAAATTTCCTTGCTCTGTTAAACTTCATTTAAGAAATATTAAAAAAAAAAAAAAAAAAAGAAGGCTAATAATTCTGACTTCAATTGTATTTAAAATAATCTAAAACAACACAATTCTTATTTTTTGGGGACAACTTCTTTGTTTTAAGTTAACTTAATAGATTTGTGTTGGGAGAACATGAAGGAGTTGTGTGTAACCTAGCATGTTTTAAAGTGTACATATCACAATACTTTGAAAATAAGAGCAATTTAAAAAGTTGGTTCATCTTAAAATGATCATATACTCAGCATTTATTCCCACACAAATGGTACTAAACCTTTATGAATCCATCTTATGGATGCTTGATAATAATTGCTGAACAAACAACACTATTTTTACACGCATGCACTTATATAAATACAATTCTGTACATATTATTAGGTATACCTGGACAAACATTTGTCATTTTGTATATTTTTATTCTCTATTTACTTTTTACAACACAGGCTCATTGTAAAAACGTACCCCTGTATACATTTCTGGAGAGCGCAAATTGTGGAGACAGAGATACGTATGGCTGCATTTCGTTTTTAGAATGAACGCTTCTGTTCATTTTCGTGCTACTAGCTGACTGCTTACCTCCGTATGGACAGCTTTTCTGCTGTTATCAGTTTGCCCAGTAGCTCACCATGTATGTTGGCAGATATGAGAGACAGAGAGGAGTTGATCATGATGACAGGGTTTGATTATTGAATAAAAGACAAAAATAAAATAAACACGTAAATAACAACATGATAATGTGGTACATTCTGAAAATGTGGTAAAAAGCAGGGCTTTTTCTGGATTACTTTTAAAAAACACAGTCAGTTGGGTTTAGGGAAGGGGATGGGTGGGGGGTATTGGTCGGTCAGTCGATCAGACAGCAGCCTCTGGTGGATTTATGTGAGAACAGCAGGCTTGAATGGCACTCACGAGTGAAAATTCAGATCTGAAAAAGCGTATACAGCAGCCTCTGGTGGATTCGCAAATACAAAAACTATAAAAAAAAGTACCTCCTGGGAGTTAATTTGTGAACTCCGGAAATGTATTTAGGAGTAGGTATCAATAATGAGCCTGGGCTGACTTTTTAAGTTCCTTCATTATCTGTGTTTTTGTCATTCAGTCGCACTGTGGAAACTTCTGTCACGAAAAACAAATTCCTCATATGTGTAAACATACCTGGCAAATAAAACTCATTCTGAATTTTCTGAACAAAGTTTTCTGATCAATACTGCAATGAAGCAGCCATTGACATCCAGAACAAATATGCTATAGAAATCAATGCCTGAATTTATTTTTAACATCCTTCAGTATAACTTCCTCTGTGTTTAACAGAAGAATATACTGTAGGTCTCCAACAGGG